AAAAAAAAAAAAAGTAGGAGGTAAGAAAGGAGAGCTGATTGTCCAGTAGCCCATACTTGTTGAGTGAAAATGAGACTGGGGCCCATGCGAAGACAGGGGCTGAGTGCATGGAAAGAATACGTCACTAACCTTCAAGTTGACAGGAAGGCTGCTTTTCAGAACCAGCACTGCTGCCGGATAGGGAGGCATCTAGACCAGAAGGGAAAGCCGATCTCTAGCGGGTATGGCAGCTAGACACGGAAAGGCCAATCTCTAGTGGCCTATGGCAGCTAGGCACAGAAGCACCTATGGTTTTCTGAGAGTTTTTTGGGGGGTGGGATGGGGTGGGACGCCATGCTGCTTTATTCACATTCAAAGTTGTACCCGTTTTCCTTGGTTTACTTTTTGAACTTAAACTTTTTCCCTTGGGGATAAAACAGCTCAAAGTTTATACATGCAATACACATTCCACATCCAATTTACATTACACGTTTAGAAATAGTTTTTGTTTGAAAATAAAGGCAATTTGGAATTCACCATATTTCCCCATAAAACCAATAGCGTACAAATAATTGTCCTGTTTCTCTCAGCTGTCAACTGGCAATTCAGTCCACCAAAGTCAGTGTTTTAATGACTACCCACATGCGTCCAATAGTTCTAATCACATTTCTGACTGCGGAGTGGGCATCTGAAACAATATTATCTGTGAGAAACTACACAAGCGCTTCAACGTGGCCCATCTAATGACTTGTCCAGAGCCAGGCCCGTGCCAGGAGCTGAGGGCACTCCAGCAAGCACAACTCAGACACAGTTGTTTCCTCGGCAGAAGGAGTCCAGTTGGATCCGAGGCTCAAACCTGTACCACTGAGACTGTACAAGCTTTCTGATGAGAGGGACTTGGTCCTCAGAGACTAGTCGGAGTTGATCCAATTAGGGAGACCAGCAGAGAAAGGGCGAGGAGGTGAACTTTGGAGTTAAAAGCAAGAGCGATGACCATGAATAGAACACACGTCTCCCCAGGGACCCCTCCAAGGCCTCCCCTAGCTCGACCCGATGTCAGGATGACCACCGCAGGGGACAACAGGCCCTGAAGTGAGGGGCAGGGTCTAAGGCAGTATTCGAAAAATGTTTGTTTCC